CTGGAGAGGATGTGGTGAAAGGGGGACACTCCTCCATTGCTGGTGGGAGTGCCAACTGGTTCAGCCACTTTGGAAAGCAGTATGGAGATTCATCAGAAAAATGGGAATAAACCTACCACAAGACCCAGCAACTGCACTCTTAGGCATATATCCAAAAGATGCCCATTCATATAACAAAGATGTCTGTTCCACTATGTTCATAGCAGCTCTATTTGTAATAGCCAGAACTTGGAAGCAACCTAGATGTCCCTCACCTGAAGAATGGATAGAGAAAATGTGGTACATCTACACAATGGAGTACTATTCAGCAGAAAAAAATAATGGAATCATGAGATTCGCAGGCAAATGGATGACACTAGAAGAAACCATCCTGAGTGAGGTAACCCAGTCACAAAAAGAGAAACATGGCATGTACTCTCTCATATATGGATTTTAGACATAGATCTGGGGAGTGCCAGCCTACAATCCTATTGCCAGAGAGTCTGGGAAACAGAAACTTCATTTACTGGCTGGTTAAGTACTGAGCTGAACTCAAGAAAGCCAGTATCAGAGAGGGAGGACTGATGATCAAAGGGATTAAGACTGGGCTGGTTGAACCCCAGAAACAGCTGACCAGACAAAGGTTAACTCTTGAATCCCAGGCATCAGCCTGGGAATCCAGCATGGGACTGATCAAGACCCCCTGAATCTGGGTGTCAGTGAGGAGGCCTAGGTAATCTATTGAGCCTTGGACAGCAGATCAGTACCCATCCCAAGTATACACACGGTCTCTGGACTCCCATAGAACAATGTGAGGTGCACTCTCACCCTGAACTCTTGGGGAAGGGTCTAGGCCCTGCCCTATATGAAATGACAGACTATGGACACCCCCATGGAGGGCCTCACCCTCCCTGGGGGAATGAGGGGATAACGGGGGGGGGGGATGGGGGGGAGGGCACGGGAGGAGGGGAGGGAAAGGGAGAGGGACCTCGTACTGACTTGTGAAGCAACCTTGTTTCTTATCTAAATTTAAAATGGAAAATAAAAAAAAATATTAATTAAAAAAAAAACTGTACCTGATACCTACAGTGACATACAGGCTGAGTATTTTAATACTAATTATATTTTAGCAAAAGAAGGATGAAATTTTGAATACAAGCCCAAGCCCAGTGCCCTGAGAGGTCGGCAGCACCATTCACAGGGGGGCAGACTACAGCAGTGCAGGTGAGAGTCCTCATAGTAACTTGTTAGCAGTTTACTAGCCATGTCTGTCTTTTTAATATTGAACCATATAAATGCAATCAATTTAAAATATGGAAATTTACAACTAAAAAGCATGTGTCCGTGGCAAAGAAAGGAGGGGAGGAAGGGAGAGAAAAAGTGAGTACTAGTCACACTTATGGACTAAGTTCAAATTTAGTCTAAGCTTTGAGTTTACAAAATCTCCAGTTTGTGCAAAGCTTCGTGTGCAGTAGATTGACTTGTTCTACCCACCTTTCAGCATAAAACTACTGCAAGAGTTAAATGGAAAAACAAAACAGCACAATGCCCATTAGTAAAAGCTGAAGTACTTTGGCAAATGTATTAACACTGTAATGTCACATGATCAGCCTGAAAGACATTTTATAAAATACCTAAAAAGACTATAAAGTGAATGGCCTAAAATGATGGCACCACAGAGCTCTGAGATGCGTCAGGAAAGGGATGCAAATGGTACTAAAATGACTAGGCCAGGCAGTGGCACACACCTGCGGTGGCCCAGGGTCGGCGGTGGGAGAATCACTGGAGATAAAGCCACAAAGGAAGAGAAAGGAATGTGCCGTTCTCTGTGGAGACAGGATGGACTTTATGCATCCTGGAAGAAGCTCAGTACAATGATGGAACTGAGCAACTGTCTGGCATTCTTGTCACTTTTCCAAAAGGATTTGTACGCAGTTCAGCAAGTAAATATTCTGCCGGCCTTTTCTCAGAACCCAGAACAAAATCTGATGAGGACATGTGATATATATCAATTCTTGAAAAACAAACTGCACTGTAATTTCCTCTTTAATCTTCAGCAAGTTCAGAGAAACACTGGCTATCTGGTGTTAAACTTTCATCAATGAATTATTGCATTAATGTACGGCTGCTGTGCACAAATTGATTCTCTAAACTTTTTTCATCAGAGTTCTTATCTTCTGAGGATAAAATGGCCAGATGCAACCTACTGACCTAGTAACAGAAATCAAAAGTTACTAACTGCTTGTGTGAATTTCCAGCTTCTAGAATCTAAGAGTGTCTGCTCAGCCACACATTATATTTAACACTTAAGCAAACCCTTTATGGAAAGTGTGCAATTTCACAGAAACTTTGTATACAACCACAAGCCAACACCAGCTGGATTATTAGAGACATTACCAGATTCTTTTGTTCTTTAAGTTTGCCGGGGGAAAAAAAAAAAAGGTTATCGGGCAACTGACTAAGCTCAAGATTTAGAGTGGCTTATGTTGAAAAGTGGTTTTATGATGCAAATTCCAAATAGACAAAATGGGATGGGGCAGAGAACTCACAAGCTGTGCACCAACAAACAGCTAAGCAAGACCTCAAACGCCTAAGTGTAGATAAAACATGCTCTGCCCCAAGTCAACAGCTGTAAGAACTCCTGGCATGCTACGGGGAAGCAATTGCTGATTTGAAATTATGCAACTATTGTCTGGAAATTGCTCAAGGAATTGAAAAGGTCAAGACTGTATGCTACCAAGCCATTTTCTTTAAAGGAAGCTGGCTGGACAGCAATGTGAAAATCATCACTGCTCCCTTTTCAGCACAAAGCCTAAAACCCGTGTGACATAAGCAAACCTCCCCTCCCCGCCAAAACACTGGCCACCAGCCCAAAGGACAACAAAGCCAGCTTGACACCAGCTTTCCTGACGTTTCCAGTTGACTGCACATTCAAGGCACCACTGATCTGCCAGCTCTCTTCCACGTCTCAGAACTGCTGTGCCTGCCTCCTACCACCCTGGTCTTCTCCCACAGTGGCACTCACTCTCCCTGCAGGACTCCAGCTCCCCTATACTAAGGACTGGCCCATAGGTGTAAAAGACCAACTTCATCTTGCAGTCTCCACTCTCTCCAGCTTCCATGCTCCAACAGCTCTGAAGGTGAAGAGCAAAGTCTGGTCTGGTCATTCCACTCCCATGATCTGGCTTCCTCCTTTCAAACAAGTCCAACAGGACTCTCCCCATCCTTCACTGTTTCTAGATGGTAATCAAACGTTATTTTTCATGCAGTGCTGAAGACTGAATCCAGAACCCCACACATGCTATTCAAGGCAAATGTTCTACTACTCAGCCAAACTGTTAATGATACAGTTGGGCATCAGACCATTTGGTCAATATCTGTCAATATCTATCCCACTAGATTCTAAAACTCTGCATTTTGTTTACCAATACATTCCTAGCATGGGCACACGAAAGCACTCACCAACTACAATTAAAAGATATTATTCATGTCTTAGAAGGTACTATACATCAACCTATAAAAAATATACTAGATTTTAGAAATACCAAAAGGCAAAACCAATCAACACACACCCTCAGGGGAAAAAAACAAAACTCAAACCAGGAAGACCAGTGGTCCATTCCAGCTACTTGAGAGGGAGACCATTTCAGTTTAAGAGTCAGAGGTCACTGGGAAATACTGCAAGACCCCCATCACTAAAATAAGTAGGGGGGGGGGAGGAAAACTCAACCAACAAAATGAGAAACACTTCCTATCTCTAATGAAATAAAAAATAATTTTAAAATTAAGTTAGAAATGATTTAATTATGAATTCTATGGTCACTATTAACTAGAACACTAGGTAATTCTTCAGTTGTTTGTGAGAACTAAATTGAATAGCACGTGAAGCACATATATCATTTCTGAGAACCGCAATGTTAAGTGGCAAAACTACTACTGCTACAAAAGGAGAAAGCTCCCTGAAGTAATATATTTCTTTATATCTCCGTTGGTTTATACAACTTTCAACAAACCTAAACTTAAAACCATGATCCCCTAAGTCTGGCTACGCCACCCCTCCCTTTCACCTATTCCTATAATATACTGAACCCAGCCCACCTGTCATTTACCCCAACGTTCACTTCAGCACCGCCTCCAGCACCTGCGGCTCATGGGGAGGCTACTCTTGTTCGACACTGTATCTCCAACCCCTTTATCCAGAACATTAGCTAATTCTGTGAACAGCGTGACTTGGCTTCTATTTGCTCATTGCGGGGGCATTTTAAAAATTACGGTGTTTCCTGTCTGCTTCAGTACACTCCTCCACAACGAGAACAAAATCAAACAGCCTGTCTTGCATCTGCTGAGTCTATTATCCCCTGACAGACCTGCTGTAACAGGGTCCTCAAAGAGTACTGGTTCTTTCTCATAATTCAACGGAATTAAACAATGAGCAATCTATCGACTCCACAACTATTTATGCTCAGTACTTCTTCAAAGCCTACACTTGGAGCAAAATAATCAGATTACTATGAACTAAATAAATGTGTAGATACAACAAAAAAAAGACAAGTTAGGGTCTTGGACGGAAAGATCATGAGTGGTTTCCTTAGTGTTTATTTCCATGTTTCTTTAATTCCCAAGTTCAGGGTGAATGTGATGGATTAGGGAAGCTGTTTTGCCTTGAGTGAAGACAATGAACCGCCTGGCAGGCAGAGGCAGGCAGATCTCTGAGTTGGAGGCCAGCCTGGTCTACAGATCGAGTTGCAGGGCAGCCAGGGCTACAAAGAGAAACCCCTCCCCTCAAAACAGACAGTAAGTCAAGCATTCCTGTCTCCTCTGACTGAAATCCCAGCATGACCCAGCTGGCCTTGAAATCAGAATCCCTGGACACCCCCCACCCCTGGCTTGCTCCTAGACCTACGGGTCAGTGACCTGAAAACTGACCACTGCGCAAACCCGGAAGAAGGCGCCAGGGCAGAGAAGCTGCCACGGCTCCCATGCAGCCTGCACCCAGCAGTCCACACCTTCCCCTCACTCACCACCAGCGAGGCCGTGAAGCCCGGTGCGTCCATGGTCCCGCGACCACGCGAGAACTAAAGGTGGAGCAGAAGCAGGTGCTGACCCAAAGAGCTGGGCGCCGCCATGTTTGGGGCGGGATGTGGAGCGAGTACTTCCGGGGCAGGTCTCGTGACGTCAAGCCATAACAAACGCACACGTGCACCTCCCGGTACTTGGGGTTGAGCCATTGCCGGGAGGCGGGAAAACTGGGAGCATGGAGAGGGGACGGGAGAGGGACCTGGGGGGTCTCGGGCGCCTGCATACTGCCCTCCCGCAGCCCTGACGTGATGCCTTAGGTAAGGACCTCGCCCAAGCCGGTGGTCCCAACTACGGCAAGAGCCGGGAGGAGAGCCCAGGGAAGCGCCCGGGCTGCAGGAATGGCTGGGAACCGGTACCCGACGGCCAGCCTGTGGTTTCCTACTCTCAATCCAAATCAGTTATTCCTTCGCTTTATCTGTACAAATTTCTGTCTGGATTTCTGCTAATTCATTATCAGAAAAATTGCTAAACAAACATACGTTTCCTTTACCCAAAAAGTAGCATACTCCATTTCTGATGACCTTTATTTCCCTTTAAATTAATTTACTTATTCAAGAGTAGGGGATTGGTTACTAGAGGCGAGAAAAGGAAGAAGAGTGGAGGTAGCTACTATCAAGATACAATAAGATCGCTTAGTAGGTGTCTTAGGATTTTTATTGCTATGAAGAGACACCATGACCATGGCAACCCTTGTAAGAAAAACGTTTACTGTTCAGAGGTCCAATCCATGACAGCGTGCAGACAGGCAGACACGGTGCTGGCACTCAGAGTACTACATCCTCTAGGGAACAGGAAATCGACTGCCAGTCACACTGAGGGAGCTTGAGTAAAAGAGACCTCAAGCCCACCCCCACAGTGATACACTTCCTCCATCAAGGCCATACCTAATGGACCCTTTGGGGGCCATTTTCTTTCAAACCATTGCAGTAAAGTGCTTGTCCCCAAGTCTGGAGGTGGCTACTAACAAAATACTATTTATTATTCAGGGTCAATGAGATGGTTCAGCAGGTAAAGGCCCTTGCCATCAATCCTGAGACCTGAGTTCACTCCCCAGGACCCATATGGTAAAAAAGACAACTAATTCCCACAAGTAGCCCTTAGCCTCTACACCTGCCCCATGGGGGGCACACCCACTCATACATACTAATATTATATTTATTATACAGCATACATTATATATTAATATAGTATATGAAAAAGAAAATATATTATCACATATTAATAAATGTAATTTCAAAATGATATATATATGTATGTATACAGTTTGATAGAGACTGTAACCCAATGGCAGAGTATGTGCTTACCTAGCAAGGCCCTTATATATGGGAAGACAGGAAGAAAAAGTACACTGTGTGTGTATGTGTGTGTGAGTTTGAGTTTTGTGGGGGATAGTATCTCACTGTAGCCCATGATAGGCTAGAAGTCACTATGTAATCCTGGGTAGCCTCAAATTCTTAACAGTTCTCCTACTTTTGCTTCCTAAGTGCTGGGATTATAGATGTCAGCCATTCCACCAGAATAGTCATTTGGTGTTTGTTTTCCAGGGTCTTGAACATGCAAGAGCAGCATTCTGCCACACAGGCTGCACCTACAGTCCACTACCTAGCCACTGTTATATATTTTATAAAGAACTAGAAGAAAATAGAAGATTGCAAAGCTTACCCACAAAGAAATGTTAAATATTTAATGAACTGAAATGTTAATTACTGCATTAGCCATTTCACATAGTGTGAGTATTGGACTATCACTCACTACCCCAATAAATTTGTACAATCACTGTGTTAGCTAAAAATAAAATGGCATAAAAAATCACTTGCCATGACATGCAATGGTTCTTGCTCACTGTGGAGGCCATGTGTGCACTTGGATGACCATGTCATAACTACTTAGAAAGTTTCTTGGAGTAGACTTGTCTTGATATTTACTAGACAATACCTTCTAGCCCTCCATATATATTAAGGGCCTGCTAAATCTCAGTCATGGCACTAAGTGACTAGTGGATTTTTTCCTCCCTCAGGTAATCTTGTGTGAATCTCAGAGGATAATCTGTCTTTTGATGAACTCAGTCAACTTATTGGAGACCTAATTTACATCTGTAAAACCCCTTTTTAGTAATATAATGCAACATAACCATAACTGAGTGTTCTGTCACAAAGGTCCTGCTTACACTCAAAGGCAGGGAATGATTGCACGAATAGGGCATAAGAGGGCAGGAATCTTGGGGCCATTTGAGAATTCTCCCTACCACACTTTTCTTTATATGGCCACTGGGTGGCAGGGGGTTGTCAGTAAGCTTCCATTAGCATTCCCCTCAGATTCTCCCCACTATAAGTTCAAGGCCCATAATGAGTATCATGCTAGCCAGATCTATATAACAAGCAAGACCTTGTCTCCAAAAAAGAAGGAAAGAAGAGGGAGGACTATACAAACATTCTCTGTGGTGGCTAAAATTAAAAAGACCAATGTTGTCTAGGATGACAACAATTCATGCACTGTCTTGCTGAACTTAATTTAATATTATACAACTACTATAAAGTACAATTGTCACCCTAAGAGACAAACAGTGCATCCAAAGCTGTTACGCTATTATTAAGAGTTTTGTATAAACGGGGAAATGGAAATACCCAAATGTCTACGAACTAATGAATGGGTGAACATTTTGTACTTCATACTTATAAAAGAGCATTACTTAATAAAAAGTAACCTGGGAGGCTTATGAGATGGCTTACTGAGTAAGACCACATGCTGTGAAAGCATGATGACCTGAGTTTGAGTCCCCAACAATAACATAAGAAAGCCAGGCATGTCTGAATGCACTTGTAACCTCACTATTGGGGAGCAGAGACAGGAACCCCAGGAGTTTGATTGCCAGGAGCTAACCAAAAATATGACAAGACTCAGGTTCAGTAAGAGACCCTCACTCAAGTGAATAAAGCAGACTGTGCCTGATAGTACAGGACACCAGTGTCTCCTCAAGACACAGGACACCAGTGTCTCCTCAAGACACAGGACACCAGTGCCTCCTCAAGAGAGCACATGGACATGAGCATCCTCACACATGTGTACATACATCACACACTCACTATGCACACAACAAATAAATACATAAACATTTTAAGTAAATGAATGATGCCTACAACAACACAGGTTAGTCTCAAAGCACTGTAGTAAGTGAAAAATAAATAAAAGAGGATTTACACTTTGTAATTTTACTTATGTCAAACTCTAGTAAAGATAAATTTTTAAACATTATACTGTGTTTGGGTAGGTGTATTTGTACAGACACATATGAGTACATATGTACCACAGCATGAGTTTAGGTTCTCTGAAATAACAGTCAGTATTATTAACTGCTGAGCCAGTTATTTTCTTTTTTCTTTTTTTTAAATTCAACATGTTGATCAACATTCTGGAATGGCATTCACAGGCTTACTAGCGAATGCTCATTCATTAACAGACATAACACAATCAGAAGCTTCCTCCCAATTGTAGATGTACCCTTGGCTGTAACATTTCCCTAAAACATCCTGCAGAGGGACATGTACAGACATGCTTGTACACACACATGCTTGTACACACTACAGTGCTCTTAGACCTTTGGGCTACAGTCTCATGTTGGGGGTCTTACAGGACAAATGATCGCAAATGGCTCTGTATCATTGACCCATCAGGTGGTTCATATGCCATTGGAAAACCTAGGCAAGCTGCAAAGACAGAAATAGAAAAACTTCAGATGAAAGGAATGACCTGCCATCATTAAAAGTTAAAGAAGATGCAAGAATAATTTATATTGCATATAATGAATTAAGGATAATGCTGGAGCTAGAGCTCAGCTGAGTTGGCGACATGAAGTGTTCTGAAAGACATGAAATGTTCCAAAATATAAGAGAGGAAGCAAAGAAATATGGTAAGGAAACTTGGAGGAAGAAGGTGAACCAAATGATAACAATGTATAACATTTGTGCCACCTACTCTGTTTTACATTTTGTGATAGGCCATGTGGCTGTTTAGTGCCATAAACTAGACAGACAGACAGACAGATAATCTCAGGATTTTCACTAAGCTTTTGTCTTATAAACAAAATTAAATAGAGGGGAAGAAGGAAAGAAGAAAGGTTCTATGAATTATTTTAAACAAGAGAACACATGCTGTATATATAGTAATCTCATTCAAGATTCAATATGTAAACAGGAGCTAGAGACGGCTCATCAACACCCACAGAGTCTCACCAACATAACTGCCTCTGCAGGAACTGACCAACAGGACAACAGCCATGTCAAAGTAGACAGAGAAAAGCCCACAAGGCCAGAACCCTACACAAAGAGCTACAAACAGCTAAGGAATGCTGAAAAGGGGAGAAACAGCCTTCCCCAAAGAAGAGCACACAATTGGTTATCCAATACCAAATAGTCATCCCTGAAAACATACATACAAGGAACATTATACAGACTGAGCTGCTTATATCTATGCATCTAGAAATGTACATGTATATACATATAGTTATGTGATGACAATGAAAAGAGAGGCCATGAATTTGAAAGACAACAATGAGGGGTATGTGGAAGGGTTTGCAGAGAAGAAAGGAAAGGGGGAAATGATGTAATTATATTTAATCTCAAAAAATAAAAAACAATTTTTTTAAAAATCTTGATCTGTAAATGACAGAGAGAGAGAGAGAGAGAGAGAGAGAGAGAGAGAGAGAGAGAGAGAGAGAGAGAGAGAGAGAGGAGAGAGAGAGAACTAGCAGTGGGACAAGATTGTAAACTCTCAAAGCCCACTCCAAGTTACATACTTCCTCAAGCAAGGTGGCACCTCTCAAAGTTTCCATAACATCCTCCAAACCAGGTTCCAAGTGTTCAACTACCTGAGCCTGTGGGGAATACTGGCTATGAATATCAACAGAAAAAAATTACAGAGGCTGAAAAACAAAAAAAAATACAGATAGCTAATGAACATATGGAAAGTATCTTAAATTCAGTAATATCAGAGTGAAAATTAACACAACCATAAAGCATGTACTTAGCTTATCAAATGGGTAAGGGATTTCCAGAGGCACAATGGGAACAACTTCCT